ACACACACACACACACACACACACACCCTTCCAAGCTCTTGGTTCTTCTCCTCCAGTTGAGATTCCAGCTGTCTGAGCCGCTCCTCCACGTTGCCATGCCGTTCCTCAGCCTGCAGGGGGAGATGCTTACATGTAAGTTCAACCGCCTCAACCACCTATGTAACTTTATGTCTGACTAAATGATCCTTTGCCGTAGTCTCTGCAGTGTGTGTGTGTGTGTGTTTGTGTTACCTTGGAAAGTGCTGCCACTCTCTGTGCCAATTCAGCTTCCACCTCTGGCAGAGTCTCAGCCTTCCTCATGGTCTGAGCCAGCCTCTGCTCTGCCATCTCCAGCATCTCCTGCAGCTGGCGCACCTTCTCTTCACTCTGTCACACACACACAGAGAAGAGGCACATTAGTGAGAGGCAGTTGTAAAAAGTGCGTTGCAGGCACAGAGCAGCAAGGACACGTCACACAGGCCCTGAATGGAGGATGTTGTGGACCCATGTGGCGTTGAACTCAGCTTCACCCTGAACAACACATGAACCATTGAGTGTGCTGTTTCTTTTACTATCTCAAGTGACTGAAATATTCTTTAACAGTCGACCTTAAATGCTTCACACTTAAACATTTGGAAAAACAAACTCATGTCATCTTGCATCAAGTTCATTGACACTTTTAGTGTCACATAACAACAGGATTACGCTAGTGAAAACACAAGGTAACCTGAGCATGGCGGACATACTGATTAAGTTCTTGTGTCAAGGTTTATAAGCTGAGTTCTGACAGGACAATTTTCACAGGTGCTTTTGTAGAACCTAAATCCCGATGGCATTTGGAGCATTACTCAACTTAAATTTAAGGAAAGGCAGCAATCATCCATTTCAATCCGAATGACAGGTGACTGATAAATACAAACCAGTAAACCTTCCTATAGTATATGGCTGCTGTGTTTGTTACCTGTCGGTGAAGGGAGTCCTTGGTGGCCAGTTCATTCTCCAGTTTGTCGTTGAGGTCATGAATGTGTGTGGTTTCCCGCTGGGCGGCCAGGTAGCGTTTCTCTAATGTTGTGATTCTCTCCTCCATGTCCTCTCTCTGTGGGTGCAGGGATACAACAACATGTTTGTGTATGTATAACCCCACTTTATGATTTAAGATACAGTAATTTGCAGTTAGGGTAAATGTAAATGTATGCAATATAAACTTAATAGCCTTACGAAGACTTACTACAAGCTTCAAGTTGTTTCTTCATTCCATTTTTGTGTTGTATGGAAATAGTTTCCATCAACAGCACACAAATCAAGGAATGCACACTCACAAAGTCACACTTGATTTATTTATTTATTTCTTACATCTGTGTAGTCTTTATTTCATCCCTATGTTATAGTCAATAATGCACTCATATTAACTAAAAATACTGGCAAGTAATAAAATAGTTGTGATTATGCTTTGACTAAATTCAAATTTACATTAAACAGAACTGAACCCAAGTTAATTGAATGCACTTTAGAAAATTCCTTTTCAGATATTCTCCTTTTAAATAATACAGTATTGGTAGTTGCTATAGAAAGTATTTCAAACATATACAACACAATATTGGCATCTACAATAATGCACAGTTTCTCTGTAGCAGTGAGAACTCAATGACATGGGAATCTAAAGTGTGTTCAGAATTAATGATATAGTAACATATTAGTAAAGATACATATTTTTTCCCTCAGAAAAGAAGAAAGCTAAAGTTTGTTATCTTTTTACTTAGAGTAAAAGTATAACTTTTTGTTCTCCAAGAACAAAAGCACATCTCCTTTGACCTCACCTCTCTCTGCTCCCTCTGTTGTTTGATTGACAGCTCCTCGCTGCGGCTCAGTTCTCTGCGTGCGTTCGCGAGCTCTGCCTCCAGCTCGGCCATGCGGGTGTTCAGAGTCGCAGAGTGCTCGCGGCTCTGGGACAGCTCCTTGTTGGTGCGATCCAGCAGCTCCTGAAGTTCAGACAAACGGCTGCTGTCATCGTGAGCGTCTATGGAGCCGTTGGGAAGTCTCTGCAAGGTGGACACATAAATTAATAAATAATATAATTAAAATATATATATATAAATATACACACACACACATCATCATATTAAAGGTGGTTGAGGACTAAGTAACACAAATAATGTGAGAGTTGAACATAGAAAACAGTTGTTGGAGAGTAGAAAAAGTTGGATGACCTAGATAAAAAGTGTTTTTATGCATTTATGGGTGGTGCAGTGTGGTGTGGTGCTGCCATGTTGTTGTTTTGATGTTGTTTCTCATCTCCTCACAGCTCAAAGTGCAGTTCATTCCAGGGCCTTAATTAAACAATCCTTTGGGGACACATTCATACAGGCAACACAGTGGGCAGTCAGAGTTATTAGGACCCCCTCTGCTGCCTCATGTTCCCATTTTGCCTGCTTATGAATACCTTACAGAAACATAAACATGCACTCCAACACCTCGGGAAATTGAGCTAAATAGCATGAAGCTGTGTAATAAAACACGCCTGGTGGTTTGTGCATTTTTGTGTAAGTTTAGCCACACAGTCAAAAGTTTTACACCCAGGGACTTTGGAAATGCCACTGTACGGCCCCACCAGAACGACAATCTGTCACAAACATTAGATACGAAGTGGTCCTGAGGGTAACTTGGTCAGTGTTCCAAAGCAGCTCTCCTGGAAAAAATTACATGAGGTGATGATTTCATGGTGTTTTGAATTAAAATATTTCCTAAAGGATGCTGGGAGGAACTGCGGTCACTGTCAGCAGGACAGCGGGTGTCATGAATAGAAGTCGTGACAGTGTGTGTGTTTGCACAGTTCACACACAGAGACATCTACACTCTTCCTCTTCAAACTAATCTTCTCATTTTTACCTAGGCTAAGGAGGTTATGATTTTGCCCCTGTCCATTCGTTTGTCAGCAACTGTTAGCTATGAAACAGATTCAAGGTTCGGACACGGGCCAAGAAAGAATTCAGGCAGATCCAGGATTTTCTTTACTTGGATATTGTTGTTATTGTTTGCTATGATCTCAATCAGTCAATCATGTTACTTTAAATCTGTTCTCCTCTCTCTTTTCAGTCATTTCAGTGATTCACTGCGACCCTCCTCCTCCCCAGTCTCCATTTCCACTGTCCACTCGTCTCATCAGATCACCCACTTTCTCTACATCCTATCAACCACCACTATTGTGTAGACTCAAGGGGATTTTCTATGCTACACAGGGCCTCACCCCATTTTAACGTTGATGACATCACTTAGTGTCTTAGCACTGAATAGACTAATTCATATCACATCACTTTCTTCTCTAGTTATGCATGGCAATAAATTGTGTTCGTGTTTCATGGACAAACATCCTTTGACACAGCCACCTCACTGCTGTCAGCCTTTCTTAACAGGAACATCTTGAGTGTGTGTGTGTGTGTGTGTGTGTGTGTGTGTGTGTGTGTGTGTCTGAGAGCCACCAAACAACAACTACAGACAGACATAAAATAGAGCACAGAGCAGAAAAACAATCACACAGCCAGGAAGACCTTCCATGTAGGTTTGGATCCATCTGTTCGCTCCAGTGAGTCACCATCCTTCCTTTGTCTCACCATGTTCAACTGCAATGTAAATTAAAAAGAAGAAAAAACAGAACACACATTTACTACTTTTCTCTTCCTTCACTGAACCAAAAAAAACGAAACGCGGACCCCCAATGGGAAGTCTGGCTCTCAGGCTGTCAGCGTGCTTCGGACAACATGCTGCACCATATTTGGGAGAACTACAAAAAGTGATTCTACTCAGATTACTTACAATAGAGAAGGGGGGTTTTAGGGGAAGGGGGTTTTATTTCATCTTTAGAATAATTTCTCTGATGACATTTACAAATATATGAGTGCAGAAGACAAGTTTCTGTGTGTGTGTGTTCATGTGCGTGGGCAAATGTGTATGAACAGAGGGCCAAGGAGACTGAGCCTCTCCCTGAGCATGACACTTGCAGTATATCAGATCAGACAGGAGGCTGCAAAAGATGTCTGCTAGGAACTGAACAGATGTTTCACTAACCAATACACACACACACACACACACACACACACACACACACACACACACACATAGACATTAACACATGCACACCTCTTGTGTGGTTGCCACTAGCTGTCCCTCCAGGGTGGCAACCCTCTCCAGAGCCACCCGAAGCCTCTCACGCACCTGACAGAAACACAGAGAGCACACACATCAGCACGTGGTCCAGAAACACTGTGTTGAACTGGAACTAGAGATCACTGTTCATTTATGGTTAAAAATTAACATGTTTGTTCATCTGCTTCATTTTACAGTTGCATTCTGGTCTTACTTTAATTTGCTGTAGAAGCAGCTGGCTGTTTATTAAAAATCAACACTTCCTCTATCTGTTTCACATTAAAAGCATTTCATCTCTTCCCTTTCATGGGGGACTTTTACTATGAAAATCAGGAAGTGCTGAGGTTAATTAACAGCTTAACAAAAAGAAAAACAGCAAAAAGGAATGAAAAGTGAGGGAGGATAGCAACTGTTAAAAAAGCAGAGTGTATGACACCTGCATTTATGTGTGTGTTTGTGTGTTTTGTGAATCCACCTTCTCATCCAGGGCCTTGTGGTGTTCAAACAGCGACTTCAGAGCTTTCAGGACCTCCACTTCGCTGGAAACTCCAGATGGTGGGGGTGCTTGTCTCTTCACCACTGTCATCCTCAGACTGCGCTCGTGACGAGACACCAGACACTCCAGGTGCTCCAACAGTAGCTACAACACAAACACACACACACA